ATGCTGGAACAACTCAAGTGTCCATCAACAGAGAGATTCTCTCCAGACACACACAAAATGAAGCAAAAACAGGCAACCTCTGGATGAATTTGGATGACTTTTTACTGCAGCCAGACATAAAGGCACAAGTGTTGTAAGGTTCCACTCACATGAACAGGCAGATTCATGGAGACAGAAAGTGAATAGAGACTACCAGGGGTCAAAGGGAAGGGAGGATGGGAGCGATTGTTTAATGGCTACAAGACTTATGCTTGGACTGATGACAAATTCCTAGTTATAGAGAATAATGGTGATTGCACATTTGCGTGAACTTAATGTACACTTAAAATAATGTTTGGACACTTAAAATAATTTTTTAAAAAGATGGTATCTCAGGGCCGGGGATTTAGCTCAGTGGTTCTGCCACCTACTTCACAAGCTCAAGGACCAGAGTTTGATCCCTGGTACCAAAGAAAAAAGATGATGTCTCACTCTGTTGTCCAGGCTGGTCTCAAACTCCTGGGCTCCAAGGATGCTCCTGCCTCAGCCTGTAGAGCAGCTAGGATTACACATGTGCAGCGCCATGTCCAGCATCTTAAGTCTCGTTAAAATAAACTTTTTTTTCTTCCTTGAGTTTATTGGTACATTTTAGGTGTACGGTACAGTTACATTCATTATTGGGATCTTGTACCTTTACATGGCAGGTCTTGGTTCTCATTTTTTTTCCCCTTGTCCCTGCCCTCCCTTCACCCCCTCCTCCCCTCCCCCTTTATAAACATTTTATTTCCATTTTTTCGTTTCTCATATTTTTTCCTTTCCCTTATTACCTTCCCCCTACCCTTCCCATTTTCCCTACACCTTTAGCCCTTTTCTTCCTATTTCACATTGTCAATTATCTCATTAGGATCCTGTGTACTATCATAGAGGTTCTATTTGACCCAGACATTCCTCTGCTGGGTATCTTTCCAAAAGAATTATATCACAATGATATATGCGCACCTATGTTTATAGTGGCACAGTTTGTAATAGCTAAAACTTGGAAACAGCCCATTTGCCCATCAGTTGGAGACTGGATAAAGAAGATGTGTTTTTTTATAAAATGGAGTACTACTCATCCATAAAGAATGAGGAATTAGATTCATTCATAGGAAAATGGATACATATTGAGGATATATTCCTAAGTGAAATAAATGTCACACATGTGTAAATACCAAATAGTTTCTCTGGTGTGAATAAACTATCATAGTACATAAAATAACAAATTTTTATACCTAGTTTGCCACAACTCAAAATAAAATGATAGCCAGGGATTTAGCTCAGTGGCGCCACTGCCTGCCTCAGAAGTGCAAGGACCCAAGTTTAATTCCCCCATATCCCGCCCCCCCAAAAAAACCAGGTCAATAAAAATAAAATGATTTAAAAACTGAGTTTGGAAAGCATTAGATTAAGGCCAGCCTGCACTACATAGTAAGACCTGGTTTTAAAAATGAAAGAAGGAAAGGAGGGAAGGAGGGAAGGAAGGAAAGAAAGGAAGAAATAAAAAGAGGAAGAAGAAAGACAAAGACAAGATTTCTTTATTGTCTGACCTTTAATGGGCTAGTTTGAATTGTCAGCCCTCAAGAAGTAAGGGATTAGAATCTCACAAAGCACTGTTCTTTTTTTTTTTTTTTTTTTTTTTTTCCAGAGCAAACCATGAGAGTTGATCAGTAACTAGTAAGCATGTATTTACTTATTTTTGGTACCAGGGATCAAACTCAGGACCTTGTGCTTGTGAGGCAGGCGGTGGTACCACTGAGCTAAATTCCCAGCCCACTAGTAGACATCTAAACTAGTATTCAGTAAAACAAAAGAAAACGCTGATTTTAGGCCCTGTTTTAGTTAATCAAAGTACAGTTCCACTTTATAAGCATCTGCTCCAGAAAATCCAATGTTACTTGAATGAGTTAGAATTAATTTCCTGTTTTTCAAATGTTATCATTATTATTAAATAAAACACTTTTTCATTAAGTGCCTTTAGTCATTATCCAAATCTCATACAATACATTTTGTTAGCTTCATTTAGAAGCTTTTAGAAGTGAGCTTATCAGTCCTCAGTTCCCCTGGGGAACAGTGGGCATCATCTGGAGTCATTTTTGGGTGTCCCACAGGTAGGGGGAGGTGCTGTGGCATCTGGAGTGGAGGCCAGGGGTGCCACTAAATGTCCTACGATGTCCAGAGCAGCCCGAGACACACAGTCTAAAATGTCCTTAGTGCCAAGACCGTGAAGCCTGATAATGACATCACATGTGACCCAACCTGCTGAAAGAAAAAGGAGACTGGGATTGTTCTGGAAGGGGGCCAGGGGGCCAGGCACCTGTCCTTTAATGGGTAGGGTTTCTGTTTTGCAGCAATGAAGAGTTCCAGCAATCTGCAAGATGGTTATGATGGTATGTTTCTTGTTATGTGGTTTTAACACATTAACAAAATATATCTTAGTCTTGGACATCAGGACCAGGGGCAGCATGTCAGCGAGCTTAGGGCAAAGGGTTAGAAAAGGAACCTGGGTCTGATTTTCCAGTGATGGCCCTTCTATCTGATTAAAAGCTACTGTGCATTCCAGCTACTTTGACAGAGGTGCAAAACTCTGCTAACTGTGGGAGGCCGGGGCGGGTGACAGGAGAGGTCTCTCAGGCTGGCGGGCAGATTAACCCTGCAGTGCACAACAGATCATTTATTTCCGGGCGATTACTCAGGTCACTCATGAACACAAACATTAGTTAGAACTAGGTGCCCTTCAGAAGTGTTTTCCATACATTTGTTTGCTTTGGTCACAGTTTCTGAAATAATTTTTGTTTTGCTTTGGCTGTGTTTACCTAACCCTGATAAAGTTAGTCTGCAGTAAAGTGTTATCACTCCGTATTTCAAAGTGCAAATATTTTACCAGCCTCTTAGAAAAGCACAAATATTGTCTTTAGCTCAGGTCAGTGTCTGAGGGTTAGAATCCGCCCTGCAGAACAGACCTGGCGAAGTTAAGACAACCTGGTCCGCTGCTCCATTTGTCCTTCAGCTGAACAGCAGTTAGACCTAGGGAGCTGGTGAAATTTTGTTGTCTGAAGTCTCCGCTGGGGGACAACAGGAAGGAAATGTTTTTGCAAGCAGCTCATTGTCTCGACCCAGCAGTGACCAGCAGCCACTCCCAGGAGTCACTTTGCTTCTCAGGGTGGCATCTTCCCCCTCTCTGTGAAATAACAGGGCAACAAGACAACCCCTCAGCTCCTTTCCGCTTCCATCCCTGGACCACTCTTAAGCAGCCACTGAAGTTTTCCGAACCAGTAAGATAATAAAGAGTGAGAATTTTAAATTTGCTCTCAGTCAAATGGCAGGAAGGTAGAGGGGTGAGAGCCGGGGCTGTGTCCCCTTCTTGGATAACTCATGTAAACAACGCGCCTGCTGAGGAAACCCCGGGGAAACGCTGCTGGCAGGGGCGCTGAGAACCTGGGGCGCTTCGGGGCCCCTCCAGTGCCAGCCGGGCCAGAGCCACTGGTCCTTGCATCTTCCGGACCGACACTCCCTGGGGTGCGCAGTCGGGTGGGGACAAACTGCGGCGCCCCCGAGCGCTGTCCTCCTGCGTCCCCATCTCCAGCCCCTACGGGAAGGACGAGCGGAGCGACTCCGCTCGGGGCCACGGTGTGGCAGCACTGCGTCGGGCCGAGGAAGCCCCTGCTTCCAGGTCAGAGGCCGAGGCCCAGGCAGGGGCGCAGGTGACAGTAAGCCGGCCTTTGGGAGCATTTTCCCTGCCGCAGTGTGCTGAAAGCATGGCCTGCCTCTGAAGTCATTGAGTTGTAAATCAGCCCTGCTGGTTTTATCTTTATTTTACAAAAGATATTGAATCAGAAAGGTAAAGTGACTTGTCCAAGGTCACAATGGAACCAGCAAAGCCAGGATGCAAACAGTTCAGCTTCCTCTCCTCCCCTCTCCTCCCCCTCCCCTCTTGCCGTGTTGGGGAATCAAACCAGGGCCTCAAACATGCTAGGCAAGTGCTCTATCACTGAGCAACAACCCCAGCCCCCAACTTCTCTCTTTAAAGCCCCATGCTCTGCTATCAAATACCATGTAATTTCTAGCCTTTACCAGAAAATCAAGAAAATAAAGCAAACAGTAAAACCTACAAGAGTCACCCTGATGCCATGAAAACAGTGGTCCACAGGGCGCTGGTACTGTGGAGGTCAGCAAACCCCTTTGGATAAGAGGGGACTGGAAAATACTTCAGGCTCTGCACCCCCATCCTTGGTTCGGGTTTGTGTCAAGGTAACTCAGCTCTGCTGCTGCGGTGTGAAGCAGCCGCAGGAAGGTAAACGTGTGACCCTGATTGGATTTACAGTCCCTGAACTTTGAATTTCGCATAATTTTCATGTGTCACAAAATACTTTTAGTCTTTGGATTCCCCCACCCACCCACTTAAACATGTAAAACTACTTTTAGCCCACAGGCTGTACAAAAACAGGTAGGAGGCCAGACTGAGCCACCCACTATAGTTTATTTGTTTTGTTTTAATATTTTATGGCCTCATTATATAGACAAGGCTGGCTTCCAACTTGCTACCCTCCTGTCTCAGCCTCCTGGGTGCTGAAATTACAAGTGTGTGCCATTGTGGCCAGCCTAGTTATAATCGTACTGTCCCCTGGTGTAGAGGAGAGAAGAGGGGACTAGACTTAGTTCAAGGGTGAGTGCCTGCTATAAACCCAGTGCCAGAAATGCAGTTCACAGAGTGCTCCGGGAGTTGGGGGCAGAGCCAACCAGCGTGTGGTTGTAGGTTTGAGGTCCTGTGGGCAGGGGTTCCCAGCCGAGCCTGGGGAAGCAGAAAAGGGTCACCAGAGAAGCTGTGTCACACCAGGCCCTCAAAGATAAGTAGGAACACCGCAGGAGGAGGGGGGTACTTCAGGTAGAAGTTCAGGTTGGGGCACCAACCTGCAAGGCAGGGGATCTCTGGGCTTCCTTTCCCTCGTGGGCAAATGCACATCATGTGGTTGCTTCCCTTGCAGGTCATCAGGGAGGTAAGAAGATGAAAGCGTGGTAGGACCTGCCTGGCGCCTTCCCAGCAGTCTCTGGAAGTTGACTCCACTGGGGTGAATCATCTACAGGTCTCCTCCAGGCTCAAGAGACTATGAATTCTTGATTTTTTTGTGCGTGTATGTATGAAGAGACTGTGCTATTGAGCAGTTCTGAGGGCTGGGATTATCTGCCGACACCTGTCAGGAGCAGTGTGGCGCCCAAAGAGGAAGCGAATGTCCCTTGCGTCCAGTGGTGACACCGGTGACTGACCTCCCTGGGGGTGAGGCCAGCCCCCACCCACCCTCACACCGGTGGGAAGACACTGTGGCCGGTTGGCAGAGTCATGAGGTGCCACTGACTTAGAGCAAGGTACTGACTGTGCCGGTCTTGCTTGGTGGCTCAGTTGACCCCAGAGGCTCCTGTTTTTCTCATCCCTTCTGCTCAGAGGACAACTGCAGGCTGAGAGTTGATCCTTTTCCCTTCAGTGAACGGTAGCATTTCCCTTCTGGCTGAAAATAAGAAGTTAGAGCAGATTTCTCCGCCATCAGAGCCGGGACCTGTAGACTGACATCGGCCATGCTGTGACATCAGAAAAGGGACAAAACAAGAAAAAGAGATCTGAAGAAAAATGAAGTGGAAAGTGCTTGCATTTGTCATAGGGCTCATGGCTTTGTGGATAACATTTTTATTCCTGTATATCAACAAGTTAGTGCCACAGAAATACCCGCGAGTGAAGAAAATCTCAAACACTTCATTCCTGACAGAAACCTGTGACACGATTGTGACAGGACAAAGAGTCATCCTGGGGAAACATATGCCTGTGAGACCTTTGAGAAATATGACTTGCCAAGAATACCTGATCCAAAACCACTACCTAACGCAACCTCTGTCCCAACAGGAAGCCGAGTTCCCTCTGGCCTACGTCATGGTCATCCATAAGGATTTCGGCACTTTCGAAAGGCTCTTTCGGGCCGTCTACATGCCCCACAACGTCTACTGCGTGCACGTGGATGCCAAGTCCTCAGTCGAGTTTAAAAGCTCAGTGCAGCGGTTGCTGAGCTGCTTCTCCAACGCCTTCCTGGCTTCCAAGATGGAACCTGTGGTCTATGCAGGGTTTTCCAGGCTCCAGGCCGACCTGAACTGCCTGAGAGACCTGGTGGCCTCCCAGGTCCCCTGGAAGTACGTCATCAACACCTGCGGGCAAGATTTCCCCCTGAAGACCAACAGGGAGATCGTGCAGTACCTGAAAGGGTTCCGAGGGAAGAATCTGACCCCGGGGGTGCTGCCCCCTCCCTGGATTCTCCGAAGGACCAAGTTCGTGCATCTGGAGCAGAGGTTCTCTTGGTTCTCCTTCGTGCTGTGGACCTGGCTGAGGAAAGCGCCTCCACCTCACAACATGACCATTTACTTCGGCTCTGCCTACGTGGCCCTCACCAAGGAGTTTGTCCATTTTGTTCTGGAAGACCAGCGGGCCATTGATTTACTCAAGTGGTCAAGGGACACTTACTCTCCTGATGAGCATTTCTGGGTGACACTGAATAGGATTCCAGGTATGTGGAGCTTGATTTCCATCCTGCCTGAGGTGGCACTGTGTGCATGGGTGTGTGTGTGTGTTGCGTTTTACACATTAAAAACTTTCTAACAACATCATTTCCAGATTTTATGGAAATCCTGTTGATGATTTTGCATGTCTGCTCGACAGAGCAATACAAAATATACTTCTTACGTGTCATTAAATACACTATTTCCTTGCAGGACACACTTATTAAATTTCTCCTGGCAATATCTGCTCTAGTTCTTTGCTGTGATGCCCCATACTCTTTATATAAGCAATGATGGCCTACTGTTGGGGAATTCAGAATGTTCATTATGGATTATTCATGATGGTCTCATTTTCTGTGAGTGTTAATTATGAGAGTTTAAAAAGTTTGAGATATGAAAATGGCCATAAAAATCTCATTAAGAGGGTGGGGGGAGCCAGGCATGGTGGTGCATGCCTGTAATCTCAGCACTTGGGAGGCTGAGGCAGGAGGATCGCTGTGAGTTCGAGACCAGCATGAGCTACATAGTGAGTTCCAGGGCAGTCTCAACTACATAGTGAGACCCTGTCTCAAAAAAAAGTAAAACCCCGAAAAAAAAAAAAAAAAAAAAAAAAAAAAAGAGGGCCAGGGAATTAGCTCAGTGGTTCCACCGCCTGCCTTGCAAACACAAGGTCCCAAGTTCGATCCCCAGTACCCTCCCCAAAAAGCTCTTTAAGAACACTTTGAAATGATGCAATCCCCCCCCCAAATTTCCAAAAACCATTAAAAATTTCAAGAATTCAATGCTGGAGATATAGCTCAGTGGTAAAATACTTGCCTCACTTACTCAAAGATCCGGTACCCAAAACACACAAACAAGCAAAAATGTTGACAATTCTGAACTGTTAGCCAGGGGAATTGCCTAGTGTTTGGGCTGTGGCATGCAGAGGTCTTGCTTTGCTCTGTGAAGGGGAAGAAACCTCTTTGGGTCAGGCTTGCTCCTTCATGCAAAAGTGGAAAACCCTGTACCAGTTGTAGATTTTTTTAAAATAGAAAAAAACATTTCTTATTGTTATAAAATTCAGTCTTATGTAGACAATCTGGGAAATAAAAAAAAATAAGCAAGAAAGTAAAAGCTGGACATTATACAGAGTTGCCATTCACATATTTGCATTCCTTACCCTGTCTTTTCATTGCTGAATATAATTTGATCATAATGACTACATAATTTTGGTATCAGGGATCAAAGGCAGCCGGCAGAACTGCTGCGCTAAATCCCCGGCCTGACTATGTAATTTTGTACTTCGCAAGATAGTGTTGTAATTTCCCGGTGCTGCTGAAAATACGAAATGACGCATTCTTTTTCATAGCACAAATGTTCCATTGTTTGTCTGTTTACTCATAAGGGGTAGAGGATTCTTACCTGGTTTTTCATTCTGTAAAATGCTGTTACAAACTGGGCATAGTAGTGCACACCTATAATGCCAGGACTCGGAAGGCTGAGGCAAAAGAATCACCATGAATTCAAAGCCTGCCTGGGCTACATCATGAGTTCAAGGCTGCCTGAACTACATAGTGAAACCGTGACTCAAAAACAATGCTATTATAGTCGATGCTGAATAATATCAAAAGTAAGAGACATCCTATCACATAAAGCTTTATCATATTTTAATGTTATTTCATTTGGCATTAAAACCCACTGGACAAAAAGATGGGAACATTATAAGTTCCCATACGTGGCCAAACTGCTTTCTGAAGTATGTTCTAACTTTCCTCCATCCATCCTCCCACAGAAGGCTTCTTTCCTCACAGCTCTGCTAATAGCAAGCATTCCAGTGCATTACTTTTTATTAATCTTTAAATGCTGCTCGAATTAGAGAGCAGACTGTTCTCTTGTTTTCATGTATAATTCACTGAGGATGAATATTCTGAATGCGCATTAGCTACTTTTGTTGGTTTTTGTGGGTGGCTAGGATTCTGAAGGCTCTGCGGGGAGCGCTAGAGCAGAGCCAGTGGGTGGCTGTGTGTCCAGGGTAAAGACTGGAGCTGGTAAGAAGCTGGGAAGACCTGAGATTATTTCAGAGGGTGCAGTGGAACCCTGAAAAAAACCATGGAATCACCCAGGGAATACAAGCTCCTGCTAGGATCGTCTGACTTAAGCCGCTTTTGTACTGTACCTGGCCTCAATCTGGAATCTTCACAACAGCCCTCTAGGTGTGTAAAACACCAGTATGTGCAAACATGGACACTGGGTGATTCTGTCCTTCTGCTGGTGAAAGGTGTAGACTCACATGAAGCTTTTGTTTACCTCTCTGGCAAAATCTCTACAGACCCCTATTTTTTAAAAACCTTTACAAAATGTACAGAATGCCAGGCCGTGAAGAAATTGCAAGCTGTAATAACAGGCAGCTAAGTTAGATAGAAATTAATATATAGTTGGAGAGGGCCTGTGCTCTCAAAGATGTCAGCAGAAAGACAGAGACATCGGACTTGTGGCTGGAGGAGCATCTGAAGACCAGGCTTCGAGACAGAGAAGCAATGGCCCGGCCTACGCACCTCCCTATCAGATAAGAAGTAATTGTGCTGCAATTGGTATTGCCTGGTCCAGGAAGTCCAGATGGGCATCAGTTGCCCAGAGGGGTGACCAAACATCTGGACCCATTCCTTTCCCAAAATGCCTTTGTTCTTCCCATGCACCACTGCTTTGTGACTCACTTCCCTATTGGATTAACATTAGCTAAGCAGCCATATTTGTAGTCCTATAGGTTGATTATAGCTTGGCCATGTTGTGCCCACATTGTGACTCTGCTGTATAAATCACCCCTGACAAAGGACTTCAGTGCCAACCCACTTTGGGGACCCATCCTATCTCGGAAGCTGTTTCTCAATAAAACTTACTTTTAGCTTCCCTTGTCCCTTGGAATTAATTCATCCTTGGATTTCAGAGGGCGTAAACTTGGCACAGCTGACTTCCAGCAGGTTGGGAGTTCTTTTTTTTTTTTTTTTTTT